TTTTCTATTTTGAAATTCTCTCCTAGGGAATAAATGAATCATAACAAATTACCTATGTATCACAGTTTTTTTGTTAAATAAATATATCTGTTTTAAAATCAGCATAAATATATCCATAGTTTTGATATCAAAATCTGAAACCAGTAGAGGAAGATCGAGCAGGGTGCTGGTGGTTTGGTGTCGGAGCAGTTCTTCCTTTTCATCCCTTCACAGGCTTACACTGCCTACCTCTCAGGAATGCTGCGTTTCGAACATCAGGAGTGGAAAGCTGCCATTGAGGCTTTTAACAAATGCAAGTAAGTCCCGTGGTCCGAAGGCTGCGACTAGTTTGGATTACAGACAGTCAAATTTAGGCTGCAGATCAGGTAATGGCTTGTTTCTGTGAAAGTTAGTATGATTTTTTTTCTTTTCCTAAAGAAATGTTGATAATTCTCTTTCACCATTAGAACATGCCAGTGCTGGTAGATGGTAGAAAAGCTTCAAAGGGCCGTGTTTTGTTTTTAGCCACTGTATTCCTTGTGAGTTTATTTTCTTAATATAAGGCTGCTGTAAAACCTGACATTTCTTTCCTTGCAGAACTATCTACGAGAAGCTAGCCAGTGCTTTCACAGAGGAGCAGGCTATATTGTATAACCAACGTGTAGAAGAGATCTCGCCCAACATCCGCTACTGTGCATATAATATTGGTGAGCAGGGACTGAGGTATTGCACCAGCTTGAGCATTGGCAGGTGGCTTGCTGAGAGCTCAGCTCAGAGAGCCCAGGGAATTTATTTAACCTTCTTCCCCTTCCCTTGCATCCGTCTTTGCCCTGGGTTTTGGTTGATGACAAAAGTAGACAGAAGGCAGTTCCTTTGCTTCTGTTTCCTGCCATCTTCTACACTCCCTAAGAGTGCAGTCTTGAGTCCCTAGCTGAGTTCATTTTTAACTTTTTAGAGCAGTTTTAGGTTCATAGCAAAATGGAGAGAAAGCTACAGAGATTTCTCCTGTAACCACGTTCCCACACATGCGTGGCCTCCTCCATTATCATCATCCCCCAGAGTCCATTTGTTACAGCTGATGACTGTACACTGACACGTCGTAATCTGCCAAGTCCATAGTTTGCATTAGGGTTCTCTCTTTATTTATTTATTTGTTTTTTGCCCCTTCTACCATGTGATATTTTTTTCTTTCTTTTATTTTTTTAAAGAGACAGGGTCTCACTCTGTTGCCCAGGCAGGAGTGTAGTGGTGTGATCATAGCTCAATATAACCTTGAATACCTGGGCTCAAGCGATCCTCCCACATGAGCTCCCAAGTATCTGGGACTAAAGGCATGTACCACCATGCCGGCTAATTTTAAAATTTTTTGTAGAGATGGAGTCGCACTATGTTGCCCAGGCTGGTCTCCAACTCCTGACCTCAAGTGATCCTCCCACCTCAGCCTCCCAGAGTACTAGGGTTACAGGTGTGAGCCATTGCACCCAGCCCGGGTTCACTCTTGATATTGTACATTTTATGAGTTTGGACAAATATATAATGACATGTATTCACCATCATAGTACCATACAGTATTTTCACTGCCTCAACCAGGTTCATTCTTTGTAAAAGACTTCTGTTCAGAGAGTAAATCATTCTGCAGATTCATTGACATGTGTGTGTGGAGGGGGAAGAGCTCTTTTAAGACTGAGTTGAATCTACTGGTTCTCAAGAAAACAAACCAGCCCCTTGAAGATTTTCCTCTTTTTCTTTCAGGGGACCAGTCAGCTATCAATGAACTCATGCAGATGAGACTGAGGTCTGGGGGCACTGAGGGTCTCCTTGCTGAAAAATTGGAGGTAGTCTATGTACATTTTTGTGAAAAGTCTTTGGTTTGAAAAAGTCTAGAAGAAGAAGTAATTCATAATCCCATCTATTCCCTAGGGGTTATTGCTATTAATGTGCATATATTTATATCTATATTGGCAAATATCTATTTGTTAAAAGTTTTAACAAAAAACTGTTTTCAATTAATACTTTAAGTATTCAACTTTTTAACTTCATTGCATTTTGCATTTGTTTTCTGAGTAAGCAATATAGACTCATAGAAAAAGTAAGAAATTTGAAAGATTGGGAAAAAAATAAAATCACATGGGTTACCAACCAGAGGTAACCACTTATTAATAACATGTTAAATATCTTGCAGACTTTTCTTTCTTTTTTGGGGGGGGGTGTGTGTGTTTTGAGACAGAGTCTCGCTCTGTTGCCTTGGGCTAGAGTGCAGTGGTGTTGTCATAGCTCACTGCAACTTCAAACTTTTGGGCTCAAGTGATCCTCCTGCCTCAGCCTCTCAAGTAGCTGGGACTACAGGCTTGCACCACTATGCCCAGCTAATTTTTCTGTTTTTTGTAGAGAAAGGGTCTCTCTCTTGCTCAGGCTGGTCTTAAACTCCTGGCCTCAAGCAATCCTCCTGCCTCAGCCTCCTAGAGTGCTAGGATTATAGGTGTGAGCCACCACGCCCAGCCATAGAATTTTCTATGTGTAGAAAGAAGGGATATGTTTTAAAAACAGAATCTCAATCAACACTGTTTAATAACCTGCTTTTTAGATGTAATGTCACATGCATTTTTTCTACTTCAGTCTTTTGACTGCATTGTACAGAAGTCTGTTTTATTTAACCACTTCACCACTGTTGAATAAGTGGCAAATAGTATTACTATGAATATCTGTGTCCCTGGTTTTTGCATGGATTCTTAATTATTTCCTTAGGATAAATTCCTAAAAGTAAAATTGAGTGTTTTGGAAGCTTTTGATGCATATTGACAAATATCTTTAAGTTTCTACTAATTCACATTTTTACTTGCAGTGTATACAGATAGGCTTTTCTCCTCATATCCTTACCAAAACTAAGTGTTGCTCTTTTTAACCTTCTGTTGTGCCTTTTTAATATTTGAGTTTCCAAAAGCTAAGATACATGATACCAGGGAGGAATTTAAGTAAAAATTGGTGTACTCTACTCTATAAGGAATATAATATGTTGGTTATAGAAACAGACAAATAATAGGTTCCACTTATTTTCACCTTTGTTACTTATATCCACAGTTAAAGCTTTAACTCTTAAAAACTACTTTCCAGGCATTGATCACTCAGACTCGAGCCAAACAGGCAGCTACCATGAGTGAAGTGGAATGGAGAGGGAGAACAGTTCCAGTGAAGATCGACAAAGTGAGGATCTTTTTATTGGGATTGGCTGATAATGAAGCAGCCATTGCCCAGGTAAGGAGGAAATACCTATTACACTCTCTTCTGTATGCGTCTGAGGGTTGTGCCTGTGTGTTTAAGATGTAGTGGTTTGTTGGTGTTCATTTCTCCTAAAACAAGAATTTGTCTTAATGCTATTTGGGATTTGGTAAGTCTGGAGATATACCCTGCTAAATTATTTTGAAAACTGAGTTTGTAGAGCAGTTCTTATGTTTAGAGGGCAAAGAAATTGACCGAGACAGTTGTCAACATAAACAGGGGAGCAGTAAGAGGCTAACTTGAAATAAGAGGTCACTTTTGGTCCAGCAGGTGGTGCAGCAGCTTACCTGTTATGTCCCTGAAATCTCTCTGACCTCTTGTCCTAGCCTTCTAGCCCTCAAGGGTTCATCTGTCATTCCTGGGCCTTTACAAGAGAGCCTAGTTAAACCAGAATATCTTGCTTTGTTTGTGATGTGCATGTAATATTCATGCAAAGCTGTACTACTTGATACTACTTACTGACATAATTACCTGTTTGTGGTTGTGAACAACCAGATGCATCCCAAAAGATAAGAGATCCTGGTGATCATCCCTTTGTATGAAGCAGACAGTGATTGAGGCATTTTCCAGGGCTCCTCCTCCCTAGGAGGTAAAAGGCATCTTAAAGAAAAACAACAGGCTACTGACAGTCTGCTGCCTCACCAGGGACCAGTGGCATTTCACAGGACTTCACAGTAATCTATTGCACCCTGAATAATTTGTATATGGGGTGTGGGGGGTGCTCTGTTAATTGTGCTGATGAGTTGTGTTAAGCACCTAAACTTTTCAGTGACTTGCTCCAAAATGGCTACTTTGGGTTGAAGACAGCTTTCAACAGTTGAAGAATTTATTTTTGTCCTTGTCTATGTTGCATAGTGCCTCCCTCATATTGCTTTTATTTGCTTAAAAGGCAGAAGACTACAACAATACCAATTTCAGTACATCAGTTGGATTTCCCAGGTGGGAGGAGAAGGTGCAGGGATGTTTTATCAGAATTTGTCTTTCTCTTTTTATACATAATTAGAGAATAAGACTTGTATGGGTTTGGGGGATTTTTTTCCCCTTCTTATTCATGAGTAATTCAATTTGGACTTATGGTAAGTCAGGATCTGTAGCCAAGGTTATGTGCCTTAGCTGCTTGAGGCCTTCACTACCAAACGAAGCTGGTCCTCCTTCCAGTTTGGTTATTAGGAAGCATAATTAAGACCTCCTCCTGCACCAGTAGAAATTGTGAGATGCAAGTACACTAGGAATCTTGTATGGGTTTTTAATTGCTGTCCCACAAGATACAGTGGGGTGTTTGAAGGGTATATAAAATCAGAGGAGTGGAGGTAACTACGTGAGGGCAGCTTCAGATCGTTTGTTCACTTTAGAAAGATAAAGACTAAGGGGAAAGAATATTTGAAACCTGTTAACATAGTAAAGTACATTGATTAATTTTCAATGTTAAACCAACCTTGCAGATCTGGGATAACCACACTTAGTTATGATATATTTTTTACATATTGCTGGATTTGATTTGTTAATATGTTAATGTTTACATCTATTTTCATGAGGAATAATGGCCTATAATTTTCTTTTCATGTAATGTCTTTTTCAGGGTCTGGAGTATCAGGGTTATACAGACCTCATAAAATAGGCTCAAAGTGTTCCCTCCTTTTTGTTTTCTGAAAGAGTTTATGTAATATTGCCTCCCCCCGGCCCCCATAAATGCGTGTTATAACTTACCAGTGAAACCCTTGAGCTTGGAGTTTTCTTTGTGGGAAAGTTTCTTAAATTTATTTTTTCCTTGTTTAAACAAATTCAATTTCTTTAAGAG